TCGATTTTTAGTGAGCTTTTGCATAAAGTTTCCGCTATTTCAAGGTCACTATATTTAACATCTTTCAAATAACGATGATGCTATGTTTTTGCGTAACGGATTTTGCCGCTAACGCTACGTTTCCTGGGGAGTCCAGGTTATAGTCATATCTTACAAGATTAACAATCGAAACCGTTCACGGATTTATAGATTTTCTCTTGATTGCTGAACGGGGCAAGTTCAGTTTAAATGAAATTTGGGGCAAAAAGTGTCAAAAACACTCGTTTGAAAAAAAAGAGGCTTTTCGCTTAGCTTAGCACTTTTAGATAAACTGAAATATTACAGTGTACATAATTTAACCATGTGTATTGACAAGGACATTCTATACCTTTGTTAGAATTTTTCTTTTAAATTATAGTTCAGCCAAAGGGTGTTTTGTTGTGACTTTATTGCTTTTTATGGAAGATGTATAAGGTTGCTGAATTAAAACTTTCATCCCTGCTTGTATGTAATTAAAACAGTTAAAAATTTTAATTTTGAATATCAAATATACATTCTGCAGAGTCGGGATAAACGAAAGCTTGTACAAATTGAAAATTTGTTTATTTATAAAATAATTTTTTTATTATATTTCTACATATTTATTTTATTAATTGGACATCCGTTAACAAGCACGCTAAGCTAAGAAATAACTTAGGACGCTTTTTCAGATAAAGGTCCGTTAAATCTGCTCATGCGCGTTTCAATCGTTTAGCGTTACCGCTCACGCTAACGTTATGCAAAATATTCCTTTCATCTTTCTTCGTTATTGTTGAAAAATTGCTGTTTTGTTGCCTTTATTACTGATGATATTTTTAAAAATAAAAAGTACATTTTAAGTTTAGTCAAGTACACCATACCTAGGTTAGCTATACGTAGGATAAGCTAAACGATGGATAAAACAGCGGTTAAAATTGACCGAGTTTATGTTAACTTTTGTAACCGGCCGATAGTAAACCCCCGGGCTAGACTACAATCGATTATTTTCATGAGAAGGACGTCTTTATAAACCGTGAAGTTACACTTCTAGAGGTTGTGCTGTTCTGTTTACTTTAGTTTATGTTGATCCAGAATGATTACCGAATATTTAGCGGACCTGTTATGTATTGGGTTGTCCGGAAAATAATGCAGGATTTTGGTATTAAACAAAAAAAAAGAAACTAGTTACTTTAAAGCAATGTTCTTTAATCAAAATAATCCCATACTCTCAATACATTTCTCCCAACGTGTTGGTAACTTATTAATTCCGTCTGAGTAGAATTCAGAATTTTTAGAATTGATAAAGTCAATAAATGCATTTTCCAGTTCCGTTTGATTTTTGAATATTATGTGTTGTAAGTAGTGGTCCAGGTGTCTAAAAAAATGGTAGTCAGTAGGCGAGAGGTCCGGAGAGTAGGGTGGGTGAGGCAAAGTTTCATAGCCAAGCTCCAATAATTTTTGTGACGTTACACGTGACACATGTGGTCGAGCGTTGTCATGCAACAAAATGGGCCCTTTCCGATTGACCAAAGAGGGCTTCATTACTGCCAATTTCTGATGCATGGTATTAATTTGGTTACAGTATGGTTCAGCATTGATGGTTTCGCCAGGATTTAAGAAGCTGTAGTGTATTAAACCAAATGAAGCCCACCATACCGTAACCATTACCTTTTTTTGATGAGTTGGGGGCTTTGGAAAATGTATTGGAGCTTCTCCTTTGTCGAGCCACTGTCCAGAACGTCTAGTGTTATCGTAGAGAATCCACTTTTCGTCACATGTAACAATTCTGGCCAGAAATGGGTCATTTTTGTTTCGACAAAGAAGTGATGCACAAACATCAAAGCGCTGATTTTTTTGGCGATCGTTTAATGAGTGTGGAACCCAATTTTCGAGTTTTTTCACTTTTCCAATCGCCTTGAGGTGGTCAGCGACGGTCGTTTTACTGACTTTGAGTTGCTCTGCAAGTTCTCGAACAGTTGTTTTGGGGTTTTCTTCCACCACTGATCGCAGAACATCATCATTAAGAGAGGAAGGCCTTCCACGACCTTCTTCATCTTCAAGGCTGAAATCTCCCTCCCGAAATTTTTTAAACCACCTTTGCACAGTGCACTCATTAACACAACCCTCGCCCCAGACTTGGTTAATGTTTCTAGCCGTTTGGGCTCCGCTTCGGCCGAGTTTAAACTCGTAAAAGAAAATCGTACGAAATTCTCGCTTTGACATTATAAGGATGACTGAATTATTTCCAAGTAGCGGAATGCTACAGAGGTAAACAAACAATATCATTTGGAAGAGGATTAATAATTGTTGACATTCATACAAATGAGTAATCCTGTAAACGTAAACAGAATATTTTATATAGATTTTTTTTAATGAAAACATAAAATCCTGCATTATTTTCCGGACAACCCAATACGTGAGAATTGTACGATATCTGTAAAATACATGCTCACTATCGTCCAGAACAGCTTGGATCCACCTCCCGATTCGAGGGTTTGGCCAGTGAGCATTGAACATACAGGGCATCACAAATATCATTACTTGTCACAAATATCATTCATCCATGGCTACCAGGCTATTCTTTACAAATATACTTTTGTCGGTACCATCTGGTCTTGAATGGCCATCGTGAACCCCACGATTGCCGGGAAGAGCTTTCCATGCTCCCGAAGCATCCAGCTCTATCCCCAGGGTCGCCGGATATTGCCCATGATGGCTTCTCCCTCCATCTGCGTTATTATTGTTATTATTTATAAAGTGGAAGGTTTATGGACCGACAAATAGCTGAAGTCATCGCCGGCCCTCTGCGAGCTTTCCTACTTTTTTGCTCTTTCGCGAGTATTTTGATTTAAATTTTCAGCCATTTGAGCGTCTCCATCTTGTTACTGGCTCTGCTTTTAAATATAAACTAAGTCTCTTTGTACCACAGGTTGTCAAATGCGGAGTAGAAACAAAACATACTATGTATATATACTCAGAATTCTGTTCATTCACTCCCCCAGAGTACTCGATATTCCTTGGGGCGGGGTTGAAGCCACTCCATTCTCGCTAATAAATTACTTTACTCCCCTTTTCACATACGCCTGAGTACTCGATATTCCGCGGGCTGGGTCAACACACTCAATTCTCGCTAATAAATTACTTTACACCCCATTTCACATACTCAAGCCACAGTACTCGCTATTCCTCTGGCAGGGTCAATCCACTCCATTCTCGCTAATAAATTACTTTACTCCCAATTTTACACTCACGCCACAGCTCGACGTACCTCGGGACGGGTTGAATCCACTCCATTCTCGCTAATAAATTACTTTACTCCCCATTTCACATACTCATGCCACAGTACTTGATGTACCTCGAGGCGAGGTTAAACCCAATCCATTCTCATTAATAAATTACTTTTATTCTCCAGACGTCACACACTCGCCCCAGATTACTCGATATTCCTCGGGGCGGGGTTGAACACTCCATTCTCGCTAATAAATTACTTTACTCCCCTTTTCACATACGCCTGAGTACTCGATATTCCGCGGGCTTGGTCAACCCACTCCATTCTCGCTAATAAATTACTTTACACCCCATTTCACATACTCAAGCCACAGCTTGATGTATCTCGGGGCGGCGTTGAAACCACTCCATTCTCGCTAATAAATTACTTTTATTCTCCAGACGTCACAAACTCGCCCCAGATTACTCAATATTCCTCGGGGCGGGGTTGAACCACTCCATTATCGCTAATAAATTACTTTACTCCTTTTCACATACGCCTGAGTACTCGATATTCCGAGGGGCGGGGTCAACCCACTCCATTCTCGCTAATAAATTACTTTACTCCTCATTTCACATACTCACGCCACAGCTCGATGTACCTCGGGGGGCGGGGTTGAACCACTTCATTCTCGCTAATAAATTACTTTACTCCTCATTTCACATACTCATGCCACAGCTCGATGTACCTCGGGGGGCGGGGTTAAACCCACTCCATTCCAGCTAATAAATTACTTTACTCCCCATTTCACATACGTCACAGTTCGATGTACCTCGGGGCGTGGTTGAACCCACTCCATTCTCGCTAATAAGTTCTTTTACTGTCTTGACGTTACACACCCAGATAACTTGATATTCGTCGGGCGGGGTTGTAAGCAATTTCTTCCTTTCATTCTGAGAAATTTATTGTTACTATTACTGTTTATTTCAATTTTTTAATTGTCAACTCACCTTGTATTGTAATCTATTTTTTCTGGTTTTCTATATCAAGTAAAATAAAGGTAAACCTTTTTATTTAAGAAGCGACTTCACTAAAAATAATGGTCCATGTGTTTAACTAAGTATAATGTTTCTGATTTCAATTGAACTTTCGTGATATGAAAAATCAATAAAGACATTTATTTATCTAAAACAGGAAAATAATACACAATCTTACAATATATACAATTTTTATTGTTTTTTATTTTTTTATTTTTATTACAGTTCCACGAGATTGTTACAATCGAAAAGGACAAATTAAATATAGTTAATAAAGTATTAAAACACTATTAACCAACTAATAATATTTTCAAACGCTTACATCCTATTAAAATGTAGAAAGTTTAGAAATCAGTTAATTTGCCCGTTGGTGTTATAAAATTTTCAAGGGAAACGTTGGCGTTTCTATTATAAACTGTTTTGCTTTTAATTTACTACAATTAAAATCTTAGAACTAAATTAAAAAAATCACAACCAAAGTATCCCTTGAGACATCTACAGAGACATAGTTTTTTCAATAAAACAATGACTAATATTTTAGGATTAAAAAGTATTCTTTAAAAAAAAGAAAGGATTTTTCAATGGTAACGAAACAATAATCAAAAGATAAAATTTTGTGCATCTGACAACAAAATAAAAACAAAAATAAATTTCTTTTAAAATATCTCCCGAGTTATAAAGTAATATACAGGTACTTGATTCTAAGTAATTGGATTTGTTAGGCCGAGGGTCTGTCCTATTCTTAAATATAAAACATAATTTAAAAGTTAGGAATAAAAATGCGAAACAAATGTACGGCCGGGGTTTTACTCGATTAGGCGGCATTGAAGGCCGATCGGTATTTCTAAAATCCCGTTTCGCTTTTAAAAACGAAAAAAAGAAAATAAATAAAAATACTTTTTTTTCAGTTCGAAAAAATTGAGTCTTGAGATCGCCCATTAATTAAACGGGCGGCGGGCCGCGAACGTAGCGTAGCTGAGGGGAGATCGAAAGGCTGAGGTTGTTCATGGCATCGCAGCACTGCGGCTCCAGCAGACACGCTATACAGAAAATGGCCATCACGGCGATCTGGAACGGGAGACCGGCCCTGAGCGCTCGCCAGAACCACCAACCACGGCTGCCCCTCGTACCGCTCTCATCGTCCACCCTAAAACAAAAACAAATCATGAAAATCCAATCAAAGCCTGTTATAAAACATAAAAAACGAAAAAATTTCAATTTTACAAATGCAATGTCCACATGTAACTCATGAGAATACATTCTACATTTACACCTTTTTCTTGTCTTGTAATGCACGCAAAACCTGTCATTACTCTAAAATGTACTGTCGATTCCGTCTTAAATGCTTAATTATTTGGATATAGTACAAAACCTTTTACAAGGTCACAGCATAATCAGTAATGCTAATTGCACATGCCATGAGAAACCAGCCAATGCCGGGACTCAGTGAGAGGGATTAAGAGGAAAGGAGGTTTCGTGGACATCATCGACATGGCGGATTGGGAATGTATAAAATGGGCTTGAGCAGTAGGGTAAGGATGCATCGAGAGGCTGGTGTGAATCTTTTCGATGCGCTAGATCTTGTATGCCTTGGCAGAACCATCTGTCCAAACTGGTCGCAGAAAAATCTGGTATAAGGTTAGTTTGGTTCAAGTAGTCTCCGTAGTTATCCTCGTCTTGTGTTAAGATAATCTCTTAAGTTTAGCGTGGTTATTCTGCATCATACTGCTATGTCAGAAGTCCTAATTATTTGACTTGAAGTTGCTATCTCTTTGTTGTTGATGTACAGTGGAGGGCAAGACTGTTTTTTCAATGTACTTTTTCTTCATTCTGTCTTCTACTTTCTTTTATACCAGTCTTCGATAAGCAGTTGTTCTTTGATGTTAGAGCTTGGATAGAAGTCGATCGAGGAAAAAATTGCATTATCGTCCGCTTATATAAGTAAGTCATGAGTGTAAATGAAATAAAGATGGGGGCTAAGAATGCTCCCTTGTGGAACGCTGGGTTATTGTCTGACTGTTGCTGCACTTCACTCTGAGGCAAAAGGACTTCTAGCATTAAAAAATAAGGAATTTCGTAAATAGTCCATATTCTGCGAAATCAGAACAAGATTTTTTTTCAGACTGATGATAGCAGGAACTTAATTACAAAGAAAAACAGAACGACACTTTTTAAGTTTGGATAGATGATGAACCGTTGCATTTTGCTCCCTTATGGGACGCTGGTTGTATCTGTCTGACTGTTGCCGCACAATCAAGCAGAATGACTTCTAGCATAAAAAATGTATATATATCACAATAAAGAATTTCATAAATAGTCCATATTCTGCCCAAGCAGAACAAGATCTTTTTTTCAGATCGATGCATAAAACCAAACTTAATGAAAACCAAATTGACACTTTTCAGTTTTGACTGATGAACCCTTGCACTTTCTTTAAGATTCGATTAAGATGTTTCTTATATGGTTTTTATGCAAAAAGCTAAAGAAAAGAGAGTTTCTCATAATTTTACTCTAAATTTGCCTACAGTTGTTTTCAACGAGTGATGGTGTAATAGGAGAGATTATGGGTATTCACGATTTTCGCGTTAACAGGGTTAACTCTGTTAGGTCCTGTAACATCAACAAAAATGATAACGTAGACTTGTAAGAATCGGCTAGTAACAGGCCAGGGCCAATGTAAGGTCGAAAATGTAGGTTACATTGCTCTCCGTTAGGGCGTAGGTAACCAACATGGCAGCCATGAATTTAACAGCTGTTTTTTGTTTACACTATATTATACACTATATTATTTTTATTTTTAAATACCCATTAATTAAACCAGACCAGTACATTTCTTGTGTTAATTTCTGACCTGTCCTTGTACTCTCATTCGTAATAGATACGTCCCATATCCTATAAAGTTTTAAGCTGTTAGAGGTTAGGATATAAGTCAGGTATGTCGGCACGAATTGAAGCTTGTCATTTGTTAGTACTTTTCGAGTGCATAGATATTGGGTTGTCCGGAAAATAATGCAGGATTTTAAGTTTTCATTAAAAAAAATCTATATAAAATATTCTGTTTACGTTTACAGGATTACTCATTTGTATGAATGTCAACACTTATTAATCCTCTTCCAAATGATATTGTTTGTTTACCTCTGTAGCATTCCGCTACTTGGAAATAATTCAGTCATCCTTATAATGTCAAAGCGAGAATTTCGTACGATTTTCTTTTACGAGTTTAAACTCGGCCGAAGCGGAGCCCAAACGGCTAGAAACATTAACCAAGTCTGGGGCGAGGGTTGTGTTAATGAGTGCACTGTGCAAAGGTGGTTTAAAAAATTTCGGGAGGGAGATTTCAGCCTTGAAGATGAAGAAGGTCGTGGAAGGCCTTCCTCTCTTAATGATGATGTTCTGCGATCAGTGGTGGAAGAAAACCCCAAAACAACTGTTCGAGAACTTGCAGAGCAACTCAAAGTCAGTAAAACGACCGTCGCTGACCACCTCAAGGCGATTGGAAAAGTGAAAAAACTCGAAAATTGGGTTCCACACTCATTAAACGATCGCCAAAAAAATCAGCGCTTTGATGTTTGTGCATCACTTCTTTGTCGAAACAAAAATGACCCATTTCTGGCCAGAATTGTTACATGTGACGAAAAGTGGATTCTCTACGATAACACTAGACGTTCTGGACAGTGGCTCGACAAAGGAGAAGCTCCAATACATTTTCCAAAGCCCCCAACTCATCAAAAAAAGGTAATGGTTACGGTATGGTGGGCTTCATTTGGTTTAATACACTACAGCTTCTTAAATCCTGGCGAAACCATCAATGCTGAATCATACTGTAACCAAATTAATACCATGCATCAGAAATTGGCAGTAATGAAGCCCTCTTTGGTCAATCGGAAAGGGCCCATTTTGTTGCATGACAACGCTCGACCACATGTGTCACGTGTAACGTCACAAAAATTATTGGAGCTTGGCTATGAAACTTTGCCTCACCCACCCTACTCTCCGGACCTCTCGCCTACTGACTACCATTTTTTTAGACACCTGGACCACTACTTACAACACATAATATTCAAAAATCAAACGGAACTGGAAAATGCATTTATTGACTTTATCAATTCTAAAAATTCTGAATTCTACTCAGACGGAATTAATAAGTTACCAACACGTTGGGAGAAATGTATTGAGAGTATGGGAAAAACATTGCTTTAAAGTAACTAGTTTCTTTTTTTTTGTTTAATACCAAAATCCTGCATTATTTTCCGGACAACCCAATAGCATTTTGAATAAAAGAGTTGCTTAATTTGCCTTTTTTTAACTTCTGGCATCTTACTATTTAATACAAAAGAAAACCAAAACAAACAACAAGCCTTCAAGGACTGTTATAGCTTCATTTTTTGGTTCTACCATTCGCCACGCGCAGCATTGCGGAACAATTAACGTATAACATGCTAAGAAAAGAAGGGGGCGTTCACGATCTTACTGGGCATTTCTCTATTTGAGTTAACATCTTGAATACCCCGATATGTTTCAAGCGCTTTTTTCGAATGTTACAGCAATTGCCATGCACCCCAGAACAGGAATAACAAAATATTTTACCCCGATATTTTATTTATTTCTTTATAATCAAGGGAGCGTGAGGGGGCCAAAAAGAGCAGATGCGCCTTTTAGGTGACAAACGGCGACAATCCCATTCCCTTGCCACTGATTTATGGCCTTTTGGGAAACTCACTTTTTTGGGGGTAAAACAGGAGGAGATTTGTAAAAAAAAATCCAAAAAAAAGGGGCGGTAAGATAATCGAATCCTATATGAAGGGCGTGTGGGGAATTAAAGGATTTGCGGGATTGGATTCGGCCTTGTGACTCCTCTTATGATATATGGTTTGCTCCTTCTTCCTCCCTTCGTCCATAAATGATGACCGGCATCGTGGTTTTCAAGATTCGGTACCCTTTAAACCCCAGATCAAACTGAACAGGTAAAGCTCGTGGACGTCCGGCTGGCAAGGAGAAATCGGCCGTCATCGATCTCCCAACCCCTGGGGTTCCAGCCGATTCGTCCCGGTTGATCCGAGAATCACCGTGTTAACTGAACCCCCGACGACGTTTAATAATAGTTCTCATTTATATCTCAGTCTTGACGGTGATATTTGCTTTTTCTTATTGGAGCTGAGGAAAAAAAAAACGTGAAAAATCCACCAGCAATAAAGGCTCCCGGAGCGTCAATAAAAACAGGCTTAACGACTCGACTTAAGACCCTTTATTGCTCCGTTATGGCGCTTAGAAGAGCCACTTTTAATTGCCCTCTTCCGGCTAACATCTTGAGCATTTTGGTACATTGTTAATAACTCTCATAACAAGATACCGAAGATTAGCGCCGAGGCTTCTTTCTAATCCTAGGGCGAAATTTGTCGGATGTGGGTCTTAAGTGAGGTTAACTTCGGCTCGTATGGCCATGCTTTATAATAATTACACAAGTTATGGTTATTTCTGAAGCTGAGCTCAAGTTTTCAGACACTGGATTCGCTCTATAACACGTTATATCTGCACCCTCGGGGCAAAAGTGGATGTCATAAAAAAAAAATTTCAGGATTACTATTTTAAAGAGTAGGTGTACATTTTGTACATCCTTTGGCAAACAACTTTCACACCAATAAATACATTATCTCTCAACACGCAAGTACAAGAAAACTATAATTACTTTATATAATAAAACAGCTGTTTCCAGCAACATTTCGAACAGGTGACCCAGATAATAAGGGCAGTAAGGTTAATTCCTTGATCTGGTGGTATTCCTACGTTCTCTATATGACCAAAGGAATCTCACCCCTCAATTAGAAGGGGCATTTGGAACAACCTTTCTGTACAATTCCAAGAATCGACAGAAAGCCGTGCTCAAGTCAAGCACGATTCTCATATCGGATGACATTCCACGCTCCCAATATGGAGCCAAATAATTAGAAAACTCAACTAAGTGGACAAATCGAGCAAATATTCTCTATATGCGGAACACATACATGGCCCTTGGTCCATGGGTCAACCTCACATGGCCTATCCTTAACAGGGTACGATGACCCTGATCCAAGTCAGATCCTAAGATGCCCACCTATCGTCAGTACACTTGATACGTGACAGCTTTAAATGGAAATGGTTTTCTCATCG